AGCTGTCACTCGCCAACCTAGCACGCTGCATAATCATTGCTGTCGTGTGGAAAAGGGGGTGATTACATGTGGCAGAGTGCCGTCGCTGCGGAGGGCAGTGGCGGACGCCCGCCGCCGCGGTCGAGCGGCGAAGCAAAACCCTCCTAATAACCTTTTATACACAGTTGGAGTAGGTAGCACGGCCTACCCAACTCAAAACAAACTTGAACACTCCTTACACGGACAAGGAGTTAAGACTGGGTCTTCCGTACCCAGCCTAATGAACGATGAGCGAAGGCGGCGATTTACCCACGTTCGGACCCCTCGTAGGTGTTCCGTCGGGGGGTAGGTAACCATTCATTGTGTATGCCAACATTGGCGAGGAAACATATCTGCGCCACCTTCGCGGTGGCCAGATTCACAATAAACTGTTCACATATATGTTACTAAATTCAACGCCATGATACTAAATTGCTGTCCGTGACTAAATTGTTTCCAAACAATTATCCGTTACGTTTTTAGTGTTTACTAAACAAATGTCATAATTACTTCATGTGTTTTCGTATTATACTAAGTAAATTTGACGGTAGCATGTGTTTTATCTCTACTCTATTACATAAAATACAATTTGATATTTACTGTTAATTTCATATCATTGCGTGTGGTTGGAAAATTGTTACCAGGAGTAGTATCATAATGTTGATACAAAAAACCCAAGTGGGACATAATATCAGGGATCCTAACCCGAACACGGTACCGCTCTCAGATTTCTAGAGTAATCTACGTAACCGAGTTAACCAATGCGTAGAAGTTTCGTTAACCCGGTTAATTCGCTCTTATAACGGGTTAATGCATCCTAAGAGAATATATATTAAATTTTATCAGAATATTATTCATTAGAGAATTTGTTCATATCTGTTTATAATCGCATCCATTTTTTAAAATTACTTTAGTTCAAACAATTTATTGTTTGATGTTTACGATATTATAATTTTAAGCAACCTATTTTATTAATTTATTTAATGCGACATTCTTTGCGGCAAAGAATAAAACAAGCTATTTTTCGCAGCAAGGAATGAAACATGTTATTTTTCACAGCTAATAATGATCCGGGCCAGTTTACGCGGCAAACATGTACCAGTTTTCGCATTGAAAAGCACAATGTTAGACTTCGTCGCTACATACAAAAAAATGCTACCATTCGATGCAAAAATTGAAATGTACTACTGTTCTTATGTATAAAGTCTAATTCGCAATCTTCATAAAAAAACTGAAACGTGTTACTTTTTGTAACGCACGTCGATTTGATAGAATGATGGCTTGAACTTTACAAATTAAAAATAACTTGCTGTTAATCTTATTAGATTTATCTTCATTCATATTAAATGAGAAGTAATGACGAACAGGATATTCCACTGTACATAATATTATATAACAAAACAAAAAAGATTGTAAAATGAAATTATTAATCGTATCAACTAGTTACACAATCTGGCGACTGAAGAATATAAAGCGTGCTTCTTCTGCAACTGAACAAGACAAGACCGTCGACAGCAATAAAACACAAGAAAATTTCCTTCTAAAACAGTTGCAATTTAGAATATAACACGTTTCAACACGTCGATGGACGGCACATTTGTAGAATATTTCAATACAATTCGATGGCAACATTTATCTAATCAAAGTTAAAAAAAGATTAGTAAACTCAACAATTCTTCTCGTAGTTTTATTCCATAACTGCAACCGATTTCAAGAACGGATTAATCGGGTTACTAACTGTCGCTCTTACAGATTACACAGAACCGAACCCGGTTTATTTTGAAAGTGGCATAAGTCACTTTACCGTAATGAAAAGTGGTGATTTTTTAATGTTTATACGAAATTATTTATACTGAGAAAAATATCAGTATCCTGAGATAACAAATACAAGTAAATCTTCTCGAAAGTTAGCATCCATATTTTTAAACGTGTTAAAACGCAAACCCTTAAATATATCGACTTAAAAACAAAGTGACTTATGCCACTTTCAAAATAAACGGCTCTTATATTTGCCTAATAATAGTAATCTACCTGTAGTAGCCGGGTTATTGATTGGATTATGTTACCCGCTCTTAACGGGTTAACCCGCTCTCTGGACGACTTGGAAGCCATTATCCCGCGGATTACTGTGGGTTACTGTAACCCGCCTTGGTTAACCGGGTTATTCTTAGGGTTGAGTGGCGGTTAAGATCCCTGGATAAGATTGCATCGTACGGAAAACGATAAATTCAAAATTGCTGAATCTGAATGATGCGTTAAAATAAACATTTATTCAATTTACGTTTTGACTAAAATTGTATATTACAAGAATCAAATCCGTTGTAATTGATATTTAAGTTGAATCTGTAGTTACCTAAATGTTACTGCTCGTTAGCCGAACTCGCGGAATCTGCGATGTTAATTTGATTCAAACGGATTAGTCGGCCCGATCTCACTGAATGTGATCATTTCCAAAATATGACTCAGAATAACGTTGTTTACTAACCGTTCGTACTTTTCGTACTGTCCGAATATGGTTTGAATTCAAGGATTAGTATACTAAGATAAATGAGTGGGGATGCTCTCGAAATGTCTATTTATGGCAATCTTATAAAATTTGTCTCTTACTAAATCATGCTTTGTTGCAAATGTATTTAACTACAGCATACTCTCTCCTTCCTACTTTCGCTAATATCTCAGTAACTATGTATCTTAGATACCAGTTTATGTAATACTTTTTTATGTAGAATTCAACGCTTTAGCCGACTTTGAAAAGAAATATTAACAGTTCACCTTCACCCAGAAGGTCATCTACAAAAAATTGAAGGTGACCTTCATATCTTGATAAAAAAGCAAAATAACATAAAACTGATCACAACACTATATAATATCCCCCTGATCATATGCCATACAACTTCTACCTGAAACATTTTTTTGTACAACAAATATTATCTGATGTCGTCATGTTATGAAACTCACCCTGCATAGTATATAGTAATCTTGTAATTAGAGGTCTCAGAAAAGATCGAACGGTTCGGAAAAATTCGAATAGCTCGAAAAAAATCGAACGATTCGGAAGAAATCGAATAGTTCGAAAGAAACCGAATTATGCTGTGAGTTACGGTATTCGTACAAACTAGCATTCTAACGATCACATTAGAATCGCTCATCATAAGGTAAGTATAGATATTACTGCGGTCGCCTTAAATACTGCGGTATTTTATAAAAGTAATAAAATCTATATATATATATAACATTTTATAATGTGTAATCTTCTAAAAATGGATCTCATAATTTTTTATATGTTTAATATTGATAATTTATGACATGCAAGTAACAGCAATCGCAGTTTTAATTCATTTATTGACTTTTGATATTCGGAAGCTTATGAAAACGTCAAATCTTATGAAATACTCGTAATGACAGCTGTGAATGCTGATTCGAAAAGCATTTATATTTTGATAATTAATAATAAACTACTCATTTTAGCGTTATTTTTAGATAAAGTAATCATTACTTTGATAAAAAATCGATACGCACTGTCATTATCATCTATCCTCAATTATTTACTAACAAAGTATTTGGCGCTAGTTTTTTGCACGTGTGTACATTACTGCGGTGCTTTACTGAACTGTGTACCTTAACCTGTACGCTCCAGTTCTCGATGGGCCGATGCGAACACGCTTGATTGTAGAGTACTTATACCTAATTTGTAAAGTGCTATAGTGAGAATATCTTGATCTTGGGAACTGTAGCTGTGTGCGTATATTTAAAAGAAAATGGAAAAAGTACAAAGGAAGAAGACAAAGGGAAGAGAACAAAAAATATCAAACGAAATAAAGAAAAGGAAAAATGTAAGGTTATGCTACCCTAAGGAAAACGTGGCGCTAGCCTTGCAAGAAATTCATGGAGGAAGCTCTATTGCACAAATATCTCAGAAATATAATATTCCAGAGTCGACCTTAAGGGCGAAGAAATTAGGACTTTATGCCGACAAAAAACCTGGACCTGCAACTGTTCTGAATACAAAAGAAGAAAAAGATCTCGTCGATTGGATCCTGGAATGTTCTAAAAGAGGTTTTCCAGTAATAAGACCTCAATTAATTGACAGTGTGCAAATGATATGCCAAAAAAAGAAAAAGAAAAATCAGTTTAGGGATAATAAACCTGGAAGAAGTTGGTACGACTCATTTTTAAAGAGGCATGAGGAAATCGCAGTAATAATGACAGAAAATGTTTCCTTAAATAGAGCTAAGGTATCCGAGCACAGTTTACGAAACTGGTTTCAAAATGTTTCAAACTATTTGAGAGAACAAAATCTATTATCAATAGAAGCTAACAGAATCTTCAGTAGTGATGAAATAGGTCTGGCTTTAAGTCCTAAACCTCCTATTTTGAATGCACCGAAAGAATGCAAAAATGTTTACAACATTGTCAATAATAATGAGAAAGAAAACATCACTGTTTTGGTTACAAGTAATGCTGCTGGTGATCTTGCTCCAACCTTTGTTCTCTTTAATGAAAAATCTTTGCCAAATAATGCTGCAGAAATGACTCCCTCCAATTTTGCATTTGGATTTTCAGACAGTGGCTGCATACATGCTAAAAACTTTTATGAATTCATTACAAATGTTTTTGAACCTTGGTTGACTGAAAAAAGAATAAAGCGTCCAATAATTTTATACATTAATAGTAATTTGTCTCATATGACATTACATTTGAGCAAATTTTGTTCAGAGAATGAAATTGTACTTATTGCATTACATCCAAAT